CAATACATGAGGAAACTAAGGAAAGGAGAAGTGACTAATAAATGTGATGTGGGACCCAGGATGAGATATCCTGCAACAGAAAAAGGAGATTAGGTTACAACTAAGCAATTCAGGATAAAGTATGAACTTCAGATAATAATAACATGTCAATATTGGTTCATTAGAGTGAAGACTGTACCACAGCAATGTAAGACATTAAAGACAGGGGAAACTGGGATACATACAGGAATTCTCTGCAATATCTTTGTAACTTTTTTTTGTATATCCTAAAGCATTCTTTTAAAAAATGTATTAAGACAACAGAAAGGTGGCGGCTGAGGTCGGGGGTTGGTGGCAGCACCAGCCCTTTCTTCTTATGCCCCATTTCTCCTCAGCTGTGACGCGCTGGTGCTGACCCCGAGGCCCTTTCCCAGCCACGCAGAGGAGTGAAAAGCCACCAGTGATGATGATGATGGTGGACACTGAACACTCTGTGATGTGCACGGATCTGCTGACTGCCAACGAGTGTGGTGGTTGGGCTAAGCCTCGCACCTCAGCCTTCCCTATGGGGATCCCGCGGGAGGCAATAAAGCTCTCTGTGAAATTTCCTCGGAAATCTGACATGGGCCCGAATCACCCGTTGCCAGCTAACCTGCCCAAAATCTGACAGGAAATTCAAACCAGAACATGTTCCTGTTTTAAAGAGAGGTGTCGTCTTGCTGCTTCTTTTCTCCCCCACCCTCCCCCTAATAACAAGGATGAGTGGGTAATGAAACATTTGAATCAGATGGAAGGAATAAAACTTGGGATAAAATGGCAAAAAACCAAACAAATCCCTGGAGCTGAAGAAAATCCTGGCTGTGATAGGAATTCAGGCCTTTCCAATATGTATCTGAATAAACCTCAAAGCCAAATGTATGGGTGTGAAACTTCATAAAAGGAATGAGTGGGTATGTAAGTGTTCTTGAATGTGAGCTGATTAATTTTCCAAAACTCTGCCGAGCACAGCGTTTCAGGTCAACTGAAGCTTGCATTGGTGCTGACTTAAGACACAAATCAAGAATAATATGAATATGATCAAAACTCCTCGTTTTTCTAATAGGTTCCCTCCTCCCTGAGGTCCCTGATCACCCCTTCTTTGGATTTTGGGAGAAGATCCTCTTTAACACCTGGATTTAGTGGAAGATGTTTCTGATCTCTGAATGCACTTTTCCCTGAGCCAAGGGAGCACCGTGTTCAAATCCAGAGCTTCTCAAATCTTTTTTCTGGAAGGGAAATTCTTATATGAAAGGATCTTCTTTGGAACCCCAGTACAGGATTGATTACAATCAGAGCTGCACTGGATGATAACGAAGAGAGAACACAGAGTCACCTCATTTTATTGACTACATTAGTATATGTATATATACTTATTTTAAGTGTATAGAATTTTTACCATTTATAGAAACATTTAAAAAAATTTCCTCAATGTTTAGTAGTTAGTTGATAATACAATTTAATTTAGAAATATATTTTTCATTATAAGTTACATTAATATAATAGTTTTACTTTACATCTGCATAACTGGTGGGCATACTTCCTTGTCCAGGGAACTCCAGGGACTAAAGTGTTTCAAAACAGACCTAAAGATGAGAGGAAGGAAAGCCCTAAAATGAATGCTAGATGGGGCAGAAATTGGCCACATGCTTATCCATCCCTTCTTCCTCCTGGGAGCAGAGGGTAGCACATATTCCAGTTGCCCTGGGCAATGAATTAGGAGCACGTGACTGAGTTCTGGCCAATGGAATGTGGGTAGAAATAACACGTGCCTCTTCTGGGCCTGGTGTCTAAAGTGTTTCATGCCATCTTCTACCCTCTCATCCTCTCTCTCCCTTATCTGTATACTACTAAGTAGTAAGGACTACTAGTTGGCAGAACTACAAAGTGGAAGGAGACCAGATTCCTGAGTTTCTGTTTAAACGAGAATGACCCAGGAGGTCATGTTGCCAGCATCACTATGTGAGCAAGAAATAAAAATTTCTTGGGTTGATCCACTAAGATTTGAGAGTTTGTTTGTTATCACAGCAAGATTTGATCTATACTGACTGATCTGGAAGACATGAATATCTAAAATGTATTTAATTTTATTTAAAAATGTTTAAATTTTATTTGCCAGGCCAATTTCAGCCTGAGTCTCCCCAATACCATTCATTTTTATATTTATTACTAGAAAAGGGCTCTTTTTCAAAAACAACTGACATGCTTTATCCAAACAGGTGAGAATCATGTCTCCTATCGTGTTATCCTTTTTTGTCCTAGACACCAGAAATCTTGGGACCAAAATCAATGTTTAATCACAATAACCAGTTTTGCCCTCTTGGCTAACATATTTCTTGCCGATTCCTTTACATGGGTTTGATTTTTTCACATCTTTGCTAACTCTTGTTGTTTTTTGTTATTTGAACCACCTGATCAAATAATGGAGCAGGTGTGATGTAAACAAGGAAGTCTTTCAGGAGAAACGACACTAACAAACAGAAGGAAACGAATGTCAAGAATTCTCTTCAAAGTAACATTTTGCTTGTGTGATGTCAAAGGTTTTCCATCAACATGTCTATTTAAGTGGCTGTCACATCACAATTAAATGGAGATTTTTTTTTTACGATGTTGTGACTTGTGGGTCACCTATTCAGGCACGATCTGACGCTGTGCTTCAGTTGTGGGCAGGGGACCTGGCCCATATTATAACCACTTTCCTACATGGCCCAAATGTATGAAGAGCATGAGTGGCAAACAAACTTCCATGTTATAAAAAATTGGAGTCAGATTTTTAAAAACAGACTTTAGTTCAAATAATACTTTTTTTCTATCAGAGCATAAGGAATCCTCCATAATCATTAACTTGATGCCAAGACCAACGAGTCTCTCTCTTTGCAGCAAGCACTGCTATCATTTTATATTTTGTAAGGGTTTCCACTGGAATATTCATATAGCATGCCTCCTTTCTGGTGGCCAAATGAATAAAAGCTGTTTTATAGCAGGTACTGCTTCCACTTGCTGCAGAGTGGCTTCCAATTAAAAACTTCAGCCTCACCAACAGAAGAATGGCAACAGAAAATATGGGCAGCCTCGGCTCACCCAGCTGGTGTGAACTATCTTCACAGTGTGAAAGGAATCATGAATATATACACTCAAATAGGAACACTCTTCTCTTCCCCCCTCCTTAATGCCAAGGCTGCATTTTATTTTTAAATGTCAACCAGGCAGACAAAAAGGGAAAGTAAACAAAGGTATTTTAATACTTCTAAGCCACAGTTTTCTTCTCTGTAAAAATGGAGATAATCAAATACAAGGTAAGTCATACACATGAAATTAATTTAGAATCACAGACTTTTTGATGAATCTGCAATGGCTTCTAGAGGCCATGTTTCCCATAGGTTTTCAAACCGAGTTCCAAAAGTCCTCAGAAGCCCCCGGGGACTGCCATGGGGTTGCTTGGAAGAGGGCCAGGGATCTTGTACTCTTCTCCAGTGATAACAGCCCCATATTTCTCTGTTCAGTAGTGGAATTCTGCTTCCAATTCCACCTTAAAGGATGGTTTTGGTGCCAGAAAACTTTTAAAACTCCTTGAATGAATATAGTGTTCACACAGACTTGGGTTCAAAGTCCAGGTCTGCACTTACAAGACTTGGACAAGTTAATCCAGCCTGTGCTCACTTTCCTCATTATAAAATGAGGGTGATTATACAAACTAGTCCCCATTCATCAGAAGGCTAGTGTGAGGAAGAAATGGTCAAATAAGATGGCTTACATTGAGCACTCTCTAAACATTAAGTGTCATAAAACAAAGTGTCACATGAGCATTATTTACTGTATAATATCACCTATCTTTCTTCACCTATAAAATTAGAAAGGTGAAGATAGGCAGAGATAATTCTGGAGAGATGTGAGTCAGCGTGTGTGCTCTCTGCATGGTGCCCCATGGAGTTGAGCGACGGAATGGCCCTGGGAAGTCCATGCACAATGCCGCACCACCTCTGACCCAGTCTCCTTGGCACTGAGGCTGAGCCTTGGCTGGGCACATGATTTGCTGAATGTTTGTGTCCCTCCATCTACTCCCAAATGTGTTGGTATAAAGAGGTGGGCTTTTGGGAGGTGACTAGGCCATGGTGGTGGAGCTCTAATGAATGGGATTAGTGCCAAAAGAAGCCTAAGGGAGCTTTTTCGCCCCTTTTGCCATGTGAGGTCCCAGCAAGAAGGCTATGAGGAATGGGCCTTTACCAGATACTGAACCTGCCAGCACCTTGATTTTGGACTTCCCAGCCTCCAGAACTGTGATAAACTTGTGTTGTTTATAAATTGCCCAGTCTATGGTATTTTGCTGTAGCAGCCTACATATACTGAGACATGGGTGAATTTATATAGCTGCACCATTCTGAGCACATGGGGTGATTTTGACATGGGACAACTATTTTCTAGCAGTGGTTATGGGGTCCTCCAGCCCCAAGGGGTGTGTCTAAGTTCTTATCCTGGCAAGGAGTCAGGAACAAGAAGAATAACTTGCTATGTGTGACAGGTGGGAATGATGGGTCATGGTAGCAGCTGGTCAGAGCATCCCTTCACCCAACGTCCACAGCAATGACAGGCCACCAGCCATGGTGGCAGAAACAGCCACATAGTGGCTCCTTCTGGAATATCTGGCCCAGCAAACTGAATCCTCTAGCCACAAAGAAATGTTTCTGGATTCCTACTCCAATAGAAGCACAAGACAGGAGCAACTGCCTCGTGGTTGGGGTTCTGGGAGAGGAGAAAGGACTCTAGTAATGAACGATGTTTGAACAGTAATGGGATAGGAACTCAGAGTCATATTCATTTGAATGTTTAAAGAGATGTCACCTTATTACATTCAAGATGGTAAAACATGTATCAAGGGCAAATAAAAAGACATCCTCCTATTCCAAAGGGAGATATTTGTAAAGTTTGTTAACATAAGCCTTCATGCTAATCAACAAATAGAATTTACATGAGATTAATTAGGCCAATTTAACATTCATTATTAATAATGTTAGTACAAGGTGTTATGCTATTTGCTAGGTATATAAAGATGACTAATCCATGTTTCCTATCCATGGGAAGATGATGGTCCCATCCCTGTGCTACCATCTGATTGCTGGAAACATTTACCATTGGCATCACCTGGCTACAATATTTTTCCCAAGGCCTGTTACCAACTCAGAGGGTGTCCAACTCAGGAGCCAAACTTCTGAATTATAGATTCAACAAGTGTTGTCATAATAGCTATATGATACCAAGATGATAAAAAATCATGGCACCAACGTCATGTTCTTGCTTATTAATTGGATACTTTGGTAAAACCAAAGGTTCTATAATTCTTGCCTCATTTTATCTTTCAACTAAAGTGTGTTTTGTTATTGGATGAAAGAGAAGCCATTGGCACAAAATAGAAATTCCAGATCAAGGGGAAGCATTTTTGTTCTAGAGTCGAGTGTCCTGATCACAGGCTGGTAGAAGTAGGATGGGTGATAGCTTGCTCTCTTACTTCCTTCCCTTTAATTCAGGTGTATCTAACCTGGAGTCCTGGGGTTGCATGCAATGTTGTATGTGAGGGGGAATTTTATTGGATTATTAATGTCTTCCTTAATTAGTTTCATCCCCAAATAAATAAAAGGGTACTTTCTCTCTTCTTCCTCCTAGAGAGATAGCCAAGCTTCCCTTGTCAGTGCTCCTTGGATTCAGTCCTGCCCTGAAGACCACCTCCATCCACTTCTTTGCTGAGGGCAGAGGTCGAAGATGGGAATTGCCCTAGAAGAGGGAAGACAAGGAGAATATGGCTGGTTCATGGGGGAGGGCGGTGGCTTGGTGCAGATACTAAAAGGTAGTTTCTAGAAATAGAACTAGGGGTTGGGAATGAGGGGAGAGGTGCTGGTAGCATAAGTTCCGGCCACAGGGCTCACAAGCAGTAGTGCAGAGGATTCAGAGCCTCACATCAGAGGGGTGGGGGTGTGTGCTTCCTCCAAAGGCGCCTGGAGAGTCTGAACCTAGTGGGGCAGTCTGGGAGCTCAGCACAGATCCCCGAACAGAGCCACACACCGTCAACTGCACCCCAGGTGAGGAAGAAAACCCCCTTGAGTGTTGGACTACAATCCTGAGGCCCTTCCCAGTATTTCTGCACCCGCTTTCCTGTCTGATCACAAGTGAAGAATGAAAAAGAAGAGAAAGACCCTCCCTGGCTTTCTCGCTCACCTGGTGGGTGGAAGGCTGAGTCAGATATGATCTAGAAAAATCAAGGATGAGACATTTTTTAAACTTCCAAGATAATGGAGCAAAGGCAAACCAATTATATGCATATGTATTTTTTTAAAAAAGGAAAACTGCCTAGGACTTTCATCAGATTCTTAAAGGTATGTATGACCTAAAAAGGGTTAAAAGCTCCTGCTTTAGGAGATGTAGAGTGTTCAGGTTGGGCTCCCTGAGATGAGGATTTGGGATTCGTGAGCAACTGCTGTATTTAGCAAGAGTTTCTAGAGGAGATTGGCAAGAAAGCGGGGGAGGCCGACAGGAAAGGGAGGAAGCCAAGCAAGGGTGTGGTCTCAGGCAGAGTCCTACAGAGGGTAGCCTTGGCCTGTCCCACAGGGAAACTTTGGAGCCTAAGTCACACCTCCACGTTGTACCTGAGACAAGAGAGGTGAGATCTGGGCTTTGAGACCTACCTCACTTGCAGGCCATTAATCAAGGGCCACAAACAAGGATGTAGAGAATAAATTTCCAGGCTCTCGGCACAGGCTCTGCTATCCTACAGGTAGTTCTCCAAAGAGCTTCGATGCTGTGAATTAGAAGCACGTGCACAGGAAAGGGGTGAGGGAGTGTGCACAAAAACGGCAAAGAAGAAAAGGGATCTGGGTGGGGGCAACAACATTGCTCACTACTCCCCCTGAAATGAGGTTTCTTGAAAGTACCATTGCAACTGAAGGGTCAGGGACTTGGCATTCCAAGCACAGCAATAGGAATGCTAGGGAAAGGGAGGTCTGGAAGAGAGCCGGCACCCAGGAGAGAGAGGCTGCACGTATGTGAAGAGGAGGGCTCCAGGACAAACGTGTCTGCAATACAGCCATCTGCTCCCTGGTCCATGAGGAAACTGTCTCCTCACTGGACATCAGTTGTCTCTGTTCTAAAGTTCTTTGGCCTTTCCCATCCCTCAGAGCTTCTCAGTGGCCATTTCTCCCCGGAGTCCCAGCCTCTTGCCATTTGCTGGGCCTTGTCCCCACCCCCTTGCTCATAGCCTCCTTTCCAGAATCTTCCTCTTTCTGGGTCACCACACCAGTATCTTTTTCTTCTATAATGTAGAGAAACATTTTTTTGTTTCATTCCTAGCCCAGCCACGCTATGCCCAGTGGGTCTCATTTTCATAACCAAACATACCCATATAAGGTGTGTTCAGAAGCAAAGGCAGTTCCCTGCCTGAGAGTTTGCAGTCAGCGCTTCATGTGATTTTCCCCTCCCTGTTATATGCAGTGTATATAAATATATTTCAATATGTACATGCACACACACATACACATATGTACAGAACACAGAGAAGCACATACACATATGAGGAACACAGACATGGCAACTTGCCTGCGGTCACTTAACTGGTTGGTGATAGAACCAGGACAAGAACCCAAATTCTTAACTTTTTCTTCAGTGTTCATTGCCTCCAAACTGCCTGCTGAGCATCCAAGCATTTAATCTTAACAGTAATGAATAAAAATAGTTTCTTGGAGGAAGCAATCCAAGCTAAGTGCCAAATACATTCCATAGATACATGGACTATTTTTTTCCTGAATCTAGAGATCTGAGGCACATGGTATAAATGTGGGGAAACAGAAATTAGCAGACATCCCAGATAAAGTAAAGGTGTCTTTCCAAACGGTAGCATGTGATTCTATAGGGCTGAAAGGGGGACTGTTTAGCAGGACTATTAATTTGAAACTCTTGTAGTATCAATAAAAATTCTTCCTGTGCTCAATATTTTCTTACTAATTTCATTAAAAACATAAAATCATGGGTCATAAAGCTGGAAGGTGTTTCAATTAGTCTGATTCACTTCCCCACCTTCAACAGGAAGGAGTATTCATATCCCCATTGTCAGAGAAATGAAGTGATCTCAGAAGTAACAGTATTTGCTCAAGGACAATTTAGAGTCTGGGTCTTCAGGGCCGGCGTGGTGGCTCATGACTGTAATCCTAGCACTCTGGGAGGCTGAGGCGGGTGGTTCGTTTGAGCTCAGGAGTTTGAGACCAGCTTGAGCAACAGCGAGACCCATCTCTTTAACAAATAAAATTATTAAAAAAAAAAAAAAAGATAGAGTCTGGGTCTTCTACCAACTCATTTTCCAGAAGCCACATCTAATATGGTCCTTTACAGATTACAAACCTCTTTCTACACATCTTACTTTATGTAATCCTCATAGCAAACATGTGTAACAGGTTAATTATTACCTCACTTTATAAACAGGGAAACTGAGGCTTGGGGAGAGTAAGGAACTTGCCTACAGGCATTCCACTAGTATGTGACACAGTTAAGACTAAAATCCAAATCCTCCAGCTCCAAATCCCACACTCCTTTTTACCATTCTGATCAGTTACTGTTAGTTCTAGAGGGATGGGTTTTGTTAGTACACTGATTTAGATGCTACAGACAGTAAGAAGACTCTGCTAAACTGTCAGTCACTGCAGGGGCGGGGGGCGGGGGGGCTTGTCTTTGTATAACAAGAGGTCTTGGCTGGACAGGAGCTGAGTCCCAAATACTTCCACTGAGTAGGTAGTAACTCCATGCCAGGCTCTGTTCCAGGTGTCCCGTATAGATCAGCAGCAGAACTGGAAAAGTCTCTGCCCCGGAATTTACATTTTAGTAGGATGAGACAGGTGCAAAATAAATAATGAAACACAAAACATGTCAAGTGATAATAAGTGCTATGAAAAAATTAAAATAGAATGAAATGGCTCAGAAGTGTATGTGTGTGAATGTAAGGAGAATGAGGGTTCTATTTTATACATAATGTGTTCAGGAATGTTCTTTAAATAAGGTCATATTTTAGGAAGCCCCTAAAATAAGTAAAGAAGTAAGTGTTATGGATATCTGGGAAAATATATCCTGGAAAGAGAAAATTGTTAAGTGCAAATGCCCTGAGGCACAAGGTTGGAGGAAGAAGGCCGCCAATGTGTGTGAGAAGGTTTAACCACCACGTACTTGCCTTCAGGGAGCAAAAAACAATTCATAAGTACTGTGGAATTGTAGAGGAGGTAAAGGAAGCTTAGACTCACAGAGAGCCAGCACTTAATTCTCTATTGCAAGAGTTCTCATTTTTTATTTGCTACTATAAAATATACTGTTTTCAAATTCTATCTTATGCTCATTTGCCAATATGGAAACAAATGGTATCAGAATACTCTGGTGAAGTGAGGGTTGGGAGGTTCAGTCTTCCTAACTTGGCCTTACTCTTTCTCATCCCCAGCCCCTGAAGTACCTTCATGCAACTCTAGGGCTCTAGGAAACTGTTTACCAAAGTCTGAGGTAGTCAAACTAGCTCACTTTATGAAGAAGGAATCTGAGGCCCATAGAGGGAACCTTCCTCTGCTATCTCTTGGAGTGAAGCCCCCTGGTCTCCTGTGCAGGCCTCCATTGCCAGTGACCACGGATCCTGCTCCAGCTTCCAGTCTGAAGTCCCCACTTCCCATGCTGCCCCTGCGCCTGGCCGACCTAGAGCTCCGCTGCTCCTTGCCTTTCTCTGTGCATGACGCCACGTCGGAGCAGCTGCCTCTCCCTGCTCCTGTTCAAGGCTGGGCGCAGGGCTTTGGGGCTTGCCATGCCACTGGCGATCTGTGGGACCAATGTAGTCACTGTCTCTAGGGGCAGTCTGAGACAGTGGAAACAAAGAGGTCATTGCTCAGATCTGCATTTCAAATTAGATTTTCGAGTCCAAAGTAAGACAGTAGTCTTGAAAATTGTATTTATTCGGAGAATATACCTTTTGAACACACAGAGATAATGATAATGAAACTTCCCTGCACTCATGGCCTGAAAATAACAAGCGTATCTTTGACTTGATGCCTTCGTACCTGATGTACTTGTTTGCTTAGAACATCTTCCTTTTTGGTAAATTCTACTCATCTTTCCAGAAAGCTAAATTCTCCTCCCCTCTGATACTTTCTCAGACTTTCCCAGGCAGAATCCATTGACCCTCCCCCATCTGTATTCCTGTAGTGCTTTCTCCACACATTTATTACAGCTCTCATCTTATTGCATTAGAAAAACACATTTACACATCCTTCTCTCCCACCACCGCTGAGCTTCTGTTGTGAATAAGAAATACGTCTTATTCACATTTGATGCCTCGGCTGCTGCTAACACAATGCTAGCGGTGCTCACTACGTTTGCTGATTGACGTTGTAATTCAGTCCTGGCTGGGGTCATGAGAAATGCGGGTCCTTCTCCACCATAAGCTTTTCGAGAAGTTGCCACCTAGTGATAAGCCAGCACTAATTATGTGCTTGGCCCACCTGATCACTTATTGAAAAGTAAAATGACTGTGTGAATATTCCGTTATTGGTGACTGCAAGTGTCTGTGGACAACCCCAGTACTCACCTTTGGTCTGTACCAGTCGCAAGATTTCGTACGCATTTTTCTGTTTGTTCATCCACGCTAGATCTGTTCCGAGGCAGGCACGTTGCTACGACCGACACAGGCGGTAATGACACATTCTCCCTCGTGCCTGGCCACAGCCCTGGGTAACTGCCAGCCTTTCAGATATGACTGACAAGAGTAGAAAGCAAAATCTGTGGAAAAAAAAAATATGAAATCAGGTTCCAGCTCTCACTCCCTCATTATGTAAAGATGATCTCATGTTTTCTGAGTGTTGTGTGGTAAATCTCACATGATCCTGAGACAGAGGGGGATTTACCAGGCGAGAATTGATTTTTTCTGACAGACACACGAGCCTGGCTAATGGCGCCTCCAGCCAGTCAGCACTGAAAAGCAAACTTAAGTTCCATTTCCCAAATTCACACTGCACATCAATGCTACAGGGAAGGGTTAGTCCCTTTCAACAACTGCAGGATAACCGAAGCCACTTCATTTGCAGGAGTTTATAAAAACTAGATTATCCAAGATTTATTTTCTTAAGCCAAGAACAAAACAACCTCAGTAACAGAAAATGTCAGCTCTTACGTATCCATTGATCTCTGCCTTGTCAACAAGACTTTCTAGACGTTGTGTTGAAATACAACTTCCCCTACCAACAGGTCACCTGCCCGATCATTTTTAGCTCTGACTTTATCGTTAACAGTTCAAAGTGCAATATTCTTGCTTTCATGTAGAAGCATTTATTTGATCACATGGGATTCACTATGTTTATTGTCAAACATTGGTCTTTTCTTCCTAAATTTCTCTAGGATTTCCACCTCACTCATGTGGCATTTGTGTTTCTAACAGAAACAGCCAACAAGAACACCAGAGAGAAATGTTTGTATCTTGCTGAAATGTGGAGCATCCAGGGTTATCAGTAAAAGACACTTGAGACATGACCACAGAGAAAAGAGAATCCAAGGAACTGTTTGGGAAGACAAATCACATTAAGGGTATTTATTTGAATTTCTAAAATTTCCTTTTCTTTGGCTTTATTTACATTTCATTAATATGAAGTTATTCAACCTGAGTAACATTTTGTCCTACATAGTTTACTGATTTGACTTTTGCAAGGAGCCAGACACCAAGAATGATCCTAAGCAAGTGCTTGAGGGATGTGAAGCTCCATATTTATTGAATTAGAGAACTGTCAATAAAAATTTCCCTTCATATGCAATATTTTTAAAATGCCAGAGTACATTTTCCCTAGAGATGCTGACCACTTACTCACATTCCCTTAGGCAGTGGATCCAGCTTGTTACCTATACAACTAAGAAGGGGAGACTTCTGCCAAGGCCAAGGGTTGAACTGTTGGGTTTTAATTCCTAAACTGTACCCAATTCAATGGGCTTTCCAATTTGTGCTAAATCCTAATTAAGCAGGGTTCACTTTAATGAAATCAGAAGCCAGGTCCTGCCTTCTCTACCAGGACTTTCAATATTGCAGCATTCTTTCTTAATTAAGGTGAAGAATTCTCTTTGACTCCCACAGCCAAAATTTTTCAGTTGTTCCACTTAGAATGCCAGTTGGCTTCCACACCCTGCAACCATGTGCCTCTGGCACAGCTGGACAATTTATGAATTTCTGTGGGATTAAAGAGGTGCTATATCCTTGGGAAACATTCCTAATAACCTGTATTCCTACTTATTCTCGCCCGTGATCAATCTTTTCCAAGTAATAACAAGCAAGCGAGCAGAGGAGGCAGGGAGCAACCAGATGTCAGCAGCAATGTTTCCAGAGAAGCCTCCTCTCTCCCTAAACCCAGAGCCTGAATCCAACCAATTCTGTTATGAGCTGTCTTTAGCCAGTTCCGGCTCCTATTTTGTTACTCAGGGGTAACC